CCTGGACTTACAGATGTGCACTAATCACGCGTCCCCATAAAACCCCAATAACAATGTCTCTCGATCATTTCCAATATTGGCACCACTTCTCGATGGATAGACGGACGTTCTCGTAGGCGGCTCTCGAATCACAGCTGAAACAGGCAGACAGATAACACAAATTCATTTTTTAACTGCTTTCATTTGAAGAACCTCCAAGTATCCAGTAAGTTTTCAATCGTCGAGTTGGTTTTCCTTAGTCCAACGGATTTCAGATTCTAAAATGTGTAAAGATGGAGAAAGGCTTTCGCTCACCTAGGCATTAGACACCTATGAGTTCCCGAAGACGTGGTGCTATGAAAAGATTAACCTGATTTGGAGTAGGCCGATTCGAGCAAGGGAGCAATTCGAATTTGTGTTCACTCAAGGCCACTTGAGTATCACTCTCCGATATTATGTGATGAGTGAGTTAAATAAACCACCTGTTATTTTACAGCAATACAGTCTTTAAAACCTTCCATTGTTTCGAGATAGCGTTTTTTGCAATAAGAGGTTTATATTTATTTCATTGAATAAATTATCCTAAATGCTAATGCATTAAGCTGGTCTGTGTACGCATTTGGATTAAAATCAGATGAATTGCCAAAATAGTGTATTTAGAAATTTAAATTTGTTTACTTCGTCTATTTATTTCTTAGCTGGAAGATATGCGTTCAATTCACTTAAAGCAAATAGACTCAAACAATCATACAATTCGTGCTAGATGTGGAATCATTTTAGGTGAAAATTACATTTGGACATGAAGGCTGTAATTAAATGTAAATTTCTAATGCCTAGGTTAACGAAATGCCATTTCCTTCCTTTATATATTTTAGATTCTGAAATGAGTTGGACTTGGGAAAACCAATTCAATGCCAGTCTACTCGTGAGATCGCTTGACGAGTAAACTATTCAACTAAATCTGAGAATGAGAGAGATCTTTTCCAAGTCCCCACGAGGTACAGAATCACCAAGCCTTAGAAAACCATCAAGCTGAATGATTCGTGTGTATTGGAAGCATTACAGATCTACAATGGCCACAGCAATGAACACGGTGCAAGTTTAGGCAAGCCGTACTAGTTTGTTGTGTCCACGTTTGTAAAATCATTGCTGTTGCTTTCGAGACTCCATACTAACCCACTAATGCATTCATTGGAACAATTCCATATCATGCCTTAAATCAATGCAAAATGGTGCGCATAGAAACCGTTTTAAGCGAAAAGATTGAAGTTGCCTGCATCACTAATATTTCCATTGACAAATTTTATTTTGTGGCTAATAGTATAAACAGAGAGAGCACAACTAGAGACAAGACAGAGGCACTTTAAGTAGAGAACAAAGGAAGAAATTTAGACTAT